GTAAGTTATTAAAAACACATATTTGCCAATAATAAATCAATTTATTTAACTTATAACCCATTATTTACAAAAGATTGTTGGAAGTGTGATTTTATGGAACTTGTGTTTCAAAAATTTAATGTAAATAAATTGATTGGGCAACAGGACAATTTAGGTCCACTTGTTTATAAATTGAAACTTGACTTTTAATTAAAAAGACAAAAATGTAAGAACATCAAACAACATTCTTTGTTAAGCAATGTATTTTTAATAAACAGGCATAATTTTAAGACCATCTTCCCAATAGATTATTAATATCCCCGCCGCAGCAAACCTGCCGTCTAAGCGAATTTCCATTTGTCCGAATTGATTTTCAATTGATCTATTTAAATAACATTATAAGGTTTAACGAGTACCTAGGTTTGCTGCTACAAGGAAACTAATAAAGTAGTGTGTTTTTAGTAAAATATTGATAGCTTACTATAAAATAAATAAATTTGCCAACTTTGATCAAAATATATCCATAAACAAGCAAACTACAACATTTTACAATATTCTCCATAAGAATAACATGGGAATTTTAAATTTACCATTTTTTTAGTTTTCTCCGTAACCAATAACCGTACAAAAACACTTTGATATACTGAATTGTTTGTTTTTTTAAGCTCTTTAAGAAGGTTTAGAGAAAAATTGGGAAATTTTGTGTTTTGAGGGTAAAAAGTGAGAAAAACCCATTTTTACCCCATAAAACCCCCCATAAAACCCTGTTCCCATGGTCCGATCATGCTGGATCGCGAACTCATTCAAGTTTATCCCGCCTTACACCTTCAAAACAAATGTCATCAAAATCGGATAAAAATTACTCAAGTTATCGTGTTCACGGACACATATATATATATATAAATCTATATATATACCTATATATATATATATATACATATATAAAAATTTGAACGAATGGTGTTTTTGGTCTCTGGGGACATTAAAATGAAAAAGTAAATCGGTCCCGGGCCTAAGTCTTACCATGAGACCTACGGTAATAGCTACTTCCCTATAGGGAAATTCGCTAAAATACTTTTTCTTAGCCAAATTAATAGTACATGCACTTGAGACTAATGATCCCACGTTGGAAAACAATTTGGATGGCCCACAAGAAGACAATCTATTGGATAAAACTAATGGTCCCAGCTTGGAAAACAATTTGGATGACCCACAAGAAGACAATTTATGTCGTACAAGACGCATTGATGTGGGAAGCTGGGTTTGTGTCATTTATGACAACGACTGGTATCCAGGTAACTAAAATTTAAACTCAATTTAAAAAATCAACAAATTTTTTACTTTCTTTTTATAATTTTGTTTACATTAATCTTATAACAGTAGGCCAAAAATCATTCAAAAATTTAAATAATTCATTGCTTTTTGATAAAAATTATTGTTTGCCCTAAATAATTTGAATTTTTTTTTTAATTTTAGGAGTTGTGGAGGAGAAGAAAGAAGGAGATATATTGGTAGTAGCGTTTATGTCCAAAAGTGGCAATAAATTCTTCTGGCCTACACCTGAAGACAAACAGGAAGTTACCATTGCTGGGTTAATGTGTGTGACCAAACCACCTTATCCAGTGTCACAACGCCATTACCAAATAGAAAAAAAAGAGATGGAGAAAATAAAGAAAATTGTTTCTAACGTTTAGTTGGAAGACTAACTTACTTGTATTAGTTTGAACTGTTATTATTAGCATATTCTTTTTTTCATTATTTCAATCTTCTTTTGATGCCTATGGACATATTAAATATTAAGATATAGTTGTTCTTTATGTCATAGTGTGAGATTCTGATTCATCTCTGTAACGGATGTCACACACATGTAACAGAGGTCATACACATGTAACGGAGGTCACACACATGTAACAGAATGTCACATTTTTAATTTATATTTTTAAAATACGTACAGTGTAAATATGTATAAATTGTTATATTTTTTCAATTTAGTTTGATTTTAAATTAGTACACAATGATTTTCATGACTATAAAATCGTATACACACATTATGAGGTTAAAAAACCTGTGTAAAACTCGTATTTGGAAAATAATTACATCTTTTCTAAGCTTTTATGAAGATATAGGTAAAACAAAAGAAACAGGGCTGTAATATATTTAACAACAGTATATTTGAGCAATAAAAAATAAAAAATACATTGGGTTTCCCATTTTTTTCATCATGTAATTAAGATTTATCTTAGTGTGACCTCTGTTACACAAAACGAGAATTTTCAGTATAAAACTATCTCTACCATTGACATATATATCTATTAGTGCTTTCTACGTATTTTGTGGTGTTCTATAGGTTACCAGTATTAAAAAGTGCAATTGTCATTAGAATAACTATTAATAAATATTTTTTGTAATCACTACTTAGAATCGTACTTTATTCAAATTATGACCCTTATGACGATTAGATTTAGGTATCTGCATTCCTAAAATTCTACGGGAAGGGAGGACAACAGGTCCGCGACGTAGGAAGTGGTGAAGGAAGTAGTAAAGGCAAGCTGTTTGGGGTATAGGATCTGTTTATGACCATTAGATTAAGGTATTTGCAATCCTAAAATGCTATGGGAAGGGAGGAAAAAGGTCCGCGACGTAGGAAGTTGTAAAGGAAGTAGTCAAGGTGAGCTGTCCAGAGTGTGTAAACTGTTTATGACGATTAGATTTAGGTATCTGCATTCCTAAAATTCTACGGGAAGGGAGGACAACAGGTCCGCGACGTAGGAAGTGGTGAAGGAAGTAGTAAAGGCAAGCTGTTTGGGGTATAGGATCTGTTTATGACCATTAGATTAAGGTATTTGCAATCCTAAAATGCTATGGGAAGGGAGGAAAAAGGTCCGCGACGTAGGAAGTAGTCAAGGTGAGCTGTCCGGAGTGTGTAAACTGTTTATGACGATTAGATTTAGGTATCTGCATTCCTAAAATTCTACGGGAAGGGAGGAAAACAGGTTCATGACGTAGGAAGTGGTGAAGGAAGTAGTCAAGGCGAGCTCTCCGGAGTGTGGGAACTGTTTATGACGATTATATTAAGGTATCAGCAATCTTAAAATGCTGTTGGAAGGGAAGGAAACAGGTCTGTGACGTAGGAAGTGGTGAAGGAAGTAGTAAAGGCGAGCTGTTCGGGGTATAGGATCTGTTTATGACCATTAGATTAAGGTATCTACAAACCTAAGCATGCCCACGAAATAGAAAATGGTGAAAGAAGTAGTAAAGTCTAGCAGTGCGGAGTGTGGGCAATGTTTGTGGCAATTAGATTAACGTATCTAAAATACTAAAATGCTATGTAAAGTGATGAAATCAGGTTCACGATGTAGGAAGTGGCTTAGGAAGTAGTAATGTATGGGCATAGTGGGAGAACCGTCTGTGGCAGTTAGATTAATGTATCTTTAATCCTAAAATGCTATGAGAAGGGAAAGAAACAGGTCTATGACGTGTGGAAATGGTGAAGGAAGTAGTAAGGCTTGCAGTGCAGAGCGTGGGAACTGTCTTTGGCAATTACATTAAATGTATCTGCAATCCTAAAATGATATGGGAAGAGAGGGAAACGGGTCCACGACGTAGGGGGTGGTGAAGGAAGTAGTAAAGTTGAGCAGTGTTGAGTGTGGGAATGAATCAATGTATCTGCAATGCTAAAATGCTATGGGAAGAGACTGTAGACTGTAGGTTAAAATGATTAAGGAGCACGAATCGATACATATTTCGATGCATGCAATCGTTTACAATATAAATTTACAACTGAGTTCACAACAGCAGATTTTTACTCTATGGAGGCTAAAAACAATTTTTACTCCCTAAAGAGTAAAAATGCTACTTTAGGCCCAAAACGCATGCATTAAAAACGACTGTTTTTACTGCAGTAGGCCTATGACAAAAACAATATAGCCTAATATGAACCCTTGATGACTCCGCTCAATTTTGTGGATGCCTCTGCGAACGCCACCTAGTATGGGTTTTATGGGAAAATCCCTATAAAAATCAAAATTTCCAAAAAGTGAAAAAACGCCTGGAGATACCATGGATTAGTTTACACATCCACACATAGGCTACAGACACACACACATACACACATCACTTCAAAACCCACTTTTTAGGGTTCAGGGGGACTCAAAATGGATATATCCACTCAAAACTCAAACTCAAAAATTTTGACCAAAACATAACTTTGACATATACAAAAACTTTGTATAGCCTAGCCGGGGAGAAATTAAAAAGCCTTCTTGGGCTCTTACGTTAGATGCTTAGAGAAGTATGTTAACCCTAGTTCCTCCAAAATTACAACCTCCCCCACCGCTGGCAAGTCGTTTACAAATAGGCTGAACAAAGTAGGTGAGAGAATACATCCCTGTCTTAAACCTGTATAGGTGTTTTTAAGTTAGGTTTGCCTCATTTTACTACAAAAAATCTTGATATTTTGTTGAATTTTAATAAATCTTTTTGAACTTGGTATCGTTTGTAGGGAATTAAAAATGCTAAATACAAGTTTTCTTAAAATTTTTTATAAAATCTGCTATATTTTAGAAATTATTTAAGTTCAAAGAATTTATAAGGCCACCATTTTGAGATAATTTTTAGTTGAATTAAAAAAAAAAATTTTCTAGCATGGGTCTCTTACCTTAACAGATATAGGCTACCAAGTTTCATAAGTAAAAGATCGCTTGAAAAAAATTAAAGATAAAAATGTTAATGTAAAAAATACAAAATGACAGATATCTGGTTAACTGAGCAGTTTTGGATAAAAAACTTATTTGTTATATTCTCTTTATTTTGACTCGAGGAATCACTAAGTAAATTATGTCCCCACCTTTTTTGAACACTCTGTATATCCAAAACTTCATCATTGGAACACACAATTTGACACAATGGGGGGGGGGGTGAAAGGGAGGGAGAAAAGGTGTCTCACAAGATTCCTGGAACTGGTAGGTTAAGTTCCAGTGTATCAATTTCCAGAAATCAAGCAATGGTGAGAATGTACTTACTTGTCCTCTGGATGTGTGCAGGGATGAATAATTCCATTCATATCCAAATATAGATTGTCAAACTCAACTCCGTTGGGATTTGGCTTGGAAGTATCTACTGGCAGGTCTGTTCCATCTAATTGTTTAGGCTGTAATATAACAATTAAAATTAATACGCTTTATTCATTTGCGGTTTGAATTTGTATAGAGAGGTATAGGTCTTAATATAAGATAGGCCTAATTAGCACAAAGTAATGGACCATTGACAGTTTGGTACCCCTTCCCGTATTGGCAAACATTTTTAAATGAAACTAGACAACAAAAATAATTATTTAAAAATGCTTGCATTCATGAAATTGATAACTTATTGCTTTAAACTTACTATTTCTACTGTCCTAATCAATCTGGAGGTAAGAAAAATTAATAGGTAACTATTTTCATTATAGCCTTCACTTTACCTGTCCTAATATACCCTTATTTCAAAACCCTTAATACAGTCACGTATCCACATATGTGGATACGTGACTGTATTATATAAAGCCCAATCTACTTCGAAAACTTTTGACTAACTAACTAGTTATTTAGTTATTCATTAGGTAGGCTATAATTTGACTAACTAGATTTTTTACAATTTTTCATCTGAAAACTGTTGATTAATAAGTTCAATGTTATACATTTAACAAATTCAAGATTAGGCTTATTAAATTGTGGGAAATAGTTCCACATGAATCTGAAGATTCTAGCCTACCCTTTGACTATTGAACTCAATTGACTATTAAACTTGGTCAGAAAAAAAAAGAGATGGAAAATAAAATTTTTTAGACACTTGCACATTCTGTGACTGGCTCACACAACTAAGTTTATGTTATTTCTTTATTTAAAAATGTGACAGCTGGTCCATATAGGTCTAGATGGGATTTCTGACTTCAGTATCCAATGGTCAAAGGCCATAGGGGCTTGGATTACAAATATAATGTAACACACTTTATTGTCATTTTGAACCCCCCACCCCCCACCACACTGTAATGCTGTGTTGTGTAACACACTGTAATGCTTGAGCAACCCCCCCCCCCCTCCCCACCATTGTGTTACGTAACTCGATCGTAGTAGACTTTAATAACAGCTTAAGCATAATTTGACTAGTGGGATATGGATTTAAATAAACTAGATAACCTGTTGCTCGAAACCGAGCAAAACTGCAGGCTGTAATGAAAGAATAACCAGTAAAAAAATAAACAGCAAGACTTAATCAAAGAGTCACTCTAAGTAATTTCTGAATGATTATATAAATATGAAAAATATAATGTTGTAAAAAGATTATAAAAGTAGTATACAATATTTAAATTTAGATCCGCTCTCGTAATGCTTTGGCGATATCCTATCTCTTATGTACTGTAGGTGGGTTCCCTCTATGAGAAAGTAGATGTCAACCACACACTGTAGTGAGTTTTTAGACTTTTTGTAGCAAGCTAAATTGCTCTTAAAATTAATTTCCATTCTAGCTCCTGAGCTGTTGAATTCAACATAATAAATAGGTTACATACCTTATAAATCCGGATTTATAAGGTATGTAACCTATTTATTATATTAAATCTCTCTCTTTCACCAACCAGTAGGACACGTACTATAGCATTGTTAAATTATTTGTCCTACCTATATGTTCTGATTTAGCCGTGTTTAAATTAGGGGCGCCAACGAAAGTCTCCGGTTGGGAACATAAGAGGGTAAGCAAGTGGATCTAAACGACGGATCTAGAACGGATTCACGTTTAACATTATTAGTTTTTGGAAGAGACCTAAGATTTATTTGGCCAGGCTGTGCTCTGTTTCAGCTTTAAAAATAGCTGCGACATTTATTTAAGTAGCATAAGTAAGCACACGAATCTCACTGTACTCATCGGACCTCTCGTCCCTTCTAAAAATCCTCTAAAATTCCGCTATAATTTTTAAAGATTAGGCAAATAGGTTGGCAATGTGACCCTATTCCCACATATTTTTTCCTGGCATTTTTGTTTGAATTGTGTTTCAAGCGCTGTTGGGTTCCAGTGCCAACGTCGTACTCAACTATACATCTGTGCGGGTTCAAGATGACCTTCTAAAGGTATTAGATTATTTACTCGGAGATAACACGTGTCATGGATCTTTAAATTGTAGATCCCCTGTGTGATCCTCTCATCTAAATGAGCTTCAGAGCTGACCATGGCAAAGGTGAAATTGAATTGACGAATTTTAGATCTAAGCCTCGCAGCCCTGTTTTCAGATTGGGAGTTTCCAATAACTTCCTCAAAGTATAGTGAATTCCGCAGATGAGGTAAACGGGTCTTTCATTTATGGTAACAATGAGTGAAAATTGAACTGCTTCGGTCTTTCCTTTGCTTAAAATGTAAGCCACCACAATGTAAACATTTAACGTTCATTTGTCTGAGGAGATGTATCCATGATGTATCACCACGATGGTACTCTGTATCCTTCAAATGTTCCATTGGTAGGTTGATGAAAGCGGTAACGTCCGCGTTCCCTCCAGCCACTCACAGTTCTTCATCTTACTGGTGGCTTAATTTTAAATTGATTTAAAAATACGTAAGTTAACCAAACAACAGAAAACACTACAACGGAATTTTGATATACATTGTAAATTACGTGATACGGTAATGCAACGGGTAGGTAACTGCACTAAGAATAATCACTTTCAAACATTCACTTGTTCATTACACCGAACTGTAACCAAAACTACATGGTAATTCAGTAAAATAAGAAGAAAGTTAAATTAATTTAAATATTACGAACAATGTGTTATCAAGTTTTGCTAGGAAACTATTTTATGAACCAGACTTATTTAACAGACGTTTAAATGAAAATATCTGTTCCGGCTTTGCTCTGGAAGTTTTAAGTCCTGCAGTCTGTGATTAACCTTAAAAACTATTTCAAACTACGTCCATATGTTATTTGTAAACAAAGGGAAATGAGTTTGATCTAATGTCAACAGATGGCGCCTCCTTCCAAACTTTAGCCCTTAAGTGTACTTAAGTGGCGCCCTTTCTTAATATTCTGAGACGTATTTGCACATCTACGTGAAAATATCTTTAATTTGACACCTCAAACGTTAAAATCCGTCAAACCGTTATTGAGTTATGACTGTGAAAAGAAACCTGCTTGCGTATTAATATATAGATCATTAAACTTGTTATGACTTTAGTTTAGTAATCTTCATAAAATCAAAATTCATACAAACAAACAAGATTGTTACGAAGAATAGGTACGTGGACGTATCTTTTTGTACAAGTAACTGATTTAGATATCATTTTGATTATTTTTGCATTTTTAAAGAGGAATGTGTGCGTTATATAACGTTGAGCCAAACCCCCTCCACCATATAACACAGTGTAGTCTTACCCCTCCCCCCCCCCTTAAGTGTATTTTGTAATATGTGTGTGGCCCCATAATCCTAGAGCTATTATTACAAGGCAACGATGTGGTTCGGATTAAACTATTTAAACTGTAGTTCCCTTAACTTCCGCTATCATCGGTGAGCGTAAAAGTCGCACGACGGGGTTCAATGACTAGAGGGGAGAAACATTCTGTCAAACACTTAAGTTACACATAGTCAAAATGATAGCCCTAAAAGTGTAACTTAAGGTAAGACGGGCGTCTCTATCTCGCCCATGTTAAATTCATACATTGTAGGTACCTACACATAACTTTTACAAATATTAACATATGTAGTTGATTTTTTCTGGGCTTATTCTAGCCATAGTAAAGAGCAATAATAGGAACCAAAAATTAATTTGGTTGAATAATAACATTTTTATGGATTATTGTTGTTTATTGATTTTTTTTACATCTTTTTACTACACATAAAAGCCCATATAAAAAATAATTTTTAAACAACACAAAAACTGGTTCCTATTACTATAGAAAACATTACAAGGAACAAGTAAAAAAAATTGTTCGAATTGGTTCATAATTATGGTCAAAAAGTGTACCGAAGTGTTAAAAACCTCAACTTTCGGAAAATGGCGAAAAACTAAAAAAGACGAGTTGTTATGAATTAACGTTTTGAACTTTACAAAACGGAGCTTGTTAAGTTTCAGAAAAACTCTAATAAAACATAGATATATTATTATTTTTATATTGTTTTTGGTATCTATGGAAACAACAAAGACAGGTCTACAAAACTAAACAATAAAAAAAATTGTGTAAAAAAATTCTTGACGCCTGCCTTAAAAAATACGAGTTATGAATATTGACAAAACGGAGCTTGTAAAGTTTCATAAAAACTCTTATAAAACATAGATAGGCCTATATTATTATTTTTATATTGTTTTTGGTATCTATGGAAACAAAAAAAAAAACAGGTCCACAAAACTAAACAATAACAAAAAATTTGTGAAAAAAATTTTTTGACGCGTCTTACCTTAAATTTAACTTATCTTATTTTTGATTAACTAAGTTTTAATTGCACACTACTTTTAAAATTAAATTTAGGACTACAGACTTATTATTATTTCAGCGATAAAATGTCCATGGTTTATAATACAAATTTTTAGCTTATTGTAGGACTAAATAAAATGTATTTGTTTACGATATTGTTTAAACGATTCAGACCAATTAACCACAACTAAGCAAGGATCAGTTCCCCAGTACTTAGGGTCTAAGTGCAATTGTTTTATTTAAAAAATGGTGTATAACTTGGAAACGTAAGTTAGGTAAGTTATAGGCCTATCTCATAATAGAGGATGCACCTGCAATCTGGCTTTATAAAATACTTATATAAGTTAAAAGGTAATGAATCTAGAATAAAACGTGGCTAAAATTAAGTTAACTTAGGCTAAGTTATTAACTTGAATTAATGGTAAGTTTACTTTTCCTGTTAAAGGGAACATTCCCTATTATCAATGTTTTTCTCTCAACATTTTGATATTTTATTTGTTTACATGACATATTAGGGTAACGAATTGAAACATATCACCTGACAACTACGTTAAATAAATATTGTTCAGTAGGCCCTATCTACAAACAATAAACTTAGGCCTAATTTAAAAGCATTAAATTGAAATGATTATGAAACTGTTCTAAACTAACCTAACTTAACATAACTAACCAAACTTGCTGTAAAATTTAAAAATTTATATTCTCCACTTGCCTTTTATGTTACAGTATCAAACGGAATTTTGAAATGCAAGTTTGGTTAGTTATGTTAGGTTAGCTTAGAACAGTTTAATTTTTTAATCCATAGGCCCAATATATATTTTAGCCTAAACAAGATCAGTTGTAAATTTGTAAATTAAATACAGAGTGATTCAAAATGAATGACCCAGTTTTAACGCTTTATAACTTTTATACTATTAAACTTACAACTATAAAATACACATCAAACGAAAAATCAACTCAAGTAGTTAATGCCTTCCAAAGACACATCATTTAACAAAATCGATCCAGCAGAACTGTAGATTTAATTGTACAAAGTTAAAAAGTAATCTCCAACTTTTTTTACCACTACAAATTTGGAGGTTACTTGACGTTTTTGTAAATCAATTTTAAATGGTGAGGAAACTGACCGAAGTGGAAGGTAATATTCCGAAAGAGAATAAAATTTCCTACAATCTACTGTTGTGCATATTTTGAAAATACTTAAGAAAAGTACCAAAAATTGCCTAAAAATAAAAGAAATTGAAAATACCCGTCTTCAGTGTAGACAATAAACATAGCAAACATTAAATTTCACACTTTTTTATTTTAAGCAAAATTTAGGCTACATTTATTGCGTATTTTCAAAAAATGCATGATAGTAGATTGTAGGAAATATTATTCTCTTTCGGAATATTACCTTCCACTTTGGTCGGTTAACTCACAATTTAAAAGTTATTTGCAAAAACGTCAAGTAACCTCCAAATTTCTAGTGGTCAAAAAATTTTGAGATTAGGTTACTTTTAACTTTGTACAATTAAATCTACAGTTCTGCTGGATCGATTTTATTAAATGATGTGTCTTTGGAAGGCATAAACTCTTTAAGTTGCTTTTTCGTTTAAAGTGTATTTTATAGCCTAGCGGTAAGTTTAATAGTATGAAAGTTATAAAGCGTTAAAACTGGGTCATTCATTTTGAATCACCTTGTATGTTTAGAATATTATTATAGATCGTAAAGGAAAACAAAAATATTGATATATATAAAAAAAATCATCGATAATAATGAATGTTCCCTTTAACAGGAAAGTACCTAACTTAGGCTAGGCCTATAAACAGCCTGTTATTTTATTTAAAATCGTTATAAGTAACTTGTAAGTAACTTAACTTAGTGGTCCATTTGAACAATATTTAGGTTAAGTCATATTTTAGATAGATGTTAACATTTAAAATAGGCTATCAATTATAAAAGTTATAAAAAAATTTTGAGCAAGTATTAAGTTATGTAGCGAGAAAAATAGTTAAAAAAACTAGAGAGTTCAAAATAGATTTTGGTGGTGGAAAGTTTTGGTCACCTGACTACAAAAACAGCTGCTTTTGGCGATCGACAATTAAATTGTATACAATATTACATATTCTGAAACTACACTAACACGTTCAGTGATAGGGGCGGGATTCACGCCCGCGGTACCAGCACCACTGGCGCGGGGCGGGAAATGTCATCCTTCTCCAATGCCAACAACCTTGCTTCAATGAGAGCTCAGCCATTGCCGGGGAGCCATTCAGAGCTACAGGCGTTTAGCTCAATGAACCTTAGATTCGTAATGTTGACCCTCGTTTTACGATCATTTAGGAATCTCTCCGACTAAAACTGATTGCGTTTTTGGATTCAGCGTGAAAAATACTGTAAGTAGACATCAAAAAAGTACATAATACCGCGTTGTAGACACACCAAATAATGAATCGTTGTTAAATGTTATTACGATTTGTGTTTTTGTATTGAATGGTAAATAACTAACAGCTGTTTCCACTCCACAATCCTTCCTCCCCTTTAAGTGTTAGTCGCCACTAGCACTTGGACTCGTCCATACCATAAATAAGTTAATAAATCAACAAAACTGAAGCTTAATATTAATTATTTAACTGTACGGTCATTTAGGAATCTCTCCGACAAAAACTGATTGCATTTTTGGATTCAGCGTGAAAAATACTGTAAGTAGACATCAAAAAAGTACATAATACCGCGTTGTAGACATACCAAATAATTACCTAAGCTACTTACAAGTTACTTATAACGATTTTAAATAAAATAACAGGCTATTTATAGGCCTAGCCTAAGTTAGGTACTTTCCTGTTAAAGGGAACATTCATTATTATCGATGATTTTTTTTATATATATCAATATTTTTGTTTTCCTTTACGATCTATAATAATATTCTAAACATACAAGGTGATTCAAAATGAATGACCCAGTTTTAACGCTTTATAACTTTCATACTATTAAACTTACCGCTAGGCTATAAAATACACTTTAAACGAAAAAGCAACTTAAAGAGTTTATGCCTTCCAAAGACACATCATTTAATAAAATCGATCCAGCAGAACTGTAGATTTAACTGTAAAGATGAAACTGTAAGATCAATGAAATATGGTACTTTACAATAAAAATATTAGTTTTGCATTTAGTAAAGTCATTAATAAATTATAAAAGCTAATATATAAAACTGGCCCAAGGTGCCCCGGTCTCCTCTAATATTGATTATTCGATTGTTTAATTCGATATATCGTTTGGTTAGTTAGATTAGGTTAACCTTACCTAACTAACCAAACGATATATCAAATAATCGATATATCAATCGATATTTTTATTACAGGTTTTTTGTGCCAACAGATATGGAAGTATACCCCCGTAAAATCCCTTCTGGCAATGTTTTTGTCCCGGTTCCGGCAATTTTCTCTTTTCGAGCCACTTTTCTTTCAAAGACACTGGCTACGGATCCAGGCAGTGCTGCTAGCTTTGGGTGTCTCAGTGAACTACGTCCACTCTCGGGCTAACGCAGCACAATCACCGCTGCTCTATTTTTATTCGTCAGACTGAAATATTTGAATGCCAATTGCGTTCACCGATTCAGTTGCGCGGCGGAGCTTCGCCCGGGACTCGCCGCCATTGGCGAGCGCCTGTTTGAAGGTATGCCGCACTGAGTGTGTTAAGAAACTGTACCCATTGTCCCAATACCAAGTTTATAAGCAGAGCTAAGTTAAGCTAGGGCCTTCTTGCCTTTGTAGTTAGCCTACCTATAATTTGTCCATTGAAAATCGATCAGACATAGGCCTAACTCAACAATAAATTATCTTTAATAAGATAAGTAGGGGCCTAGGCTATCAAAATTAAATTTTAGCCTACTCGGAGGTACCTAAAATAGCCTATATCTAACAAATACCTTGTGGTTAAAATTCTTGTCTGTTTGTCTCTGTCTCTTTAACCCTAGATCTGGCGGTCATTTTATTCACCAGTGGAGGGTAAGTATATTTTGGCCCTTTGTAGTGGTTTCCCCTATAAGTTATTTCGCCACAGAACAGTTGTTAGTGAATGGGTCAATCCATATCAGGTGGTCCAGAAATAAATTAATTGGTTGCTTCAAGATTTTTAATTTTTAATATTTTGACCATTGAAAGTATAGGCCTACATCATTAGAAGTACAAAAATACAATTAACTTACCTATTTTTATTGTCTACTGTATGGCGGCATCATTTAGGAATCTCTCCGACTAAAACTGATTGCGTTTTTGGATTCAGTGTGAAAAATACTGTAAGTAGACATAAAAAAAGTACATAATACCGCGTTGTAGACATACCAAATAATTGCCGTAGCTTAACTTGAAACTATCGATTCGATTAGGCCTAGTAAACCTTCATGCGATTTTTTCACCATCAGCAAGTTTGGTTGGTTAGGTTAGGTTAATTTTATCCTAGACATATTTAAAAATATTGATTATTAATCAATATTTCCATTTCGATAGTTTCAATCTATATTAGCATAGCCCAGTTAAGAAACTGTACCCGGGACAATGTCCTAACTTGAACTTGATCCTTGCCCAATCTATTGAATCTAGCCTAATTAACTTACCTTTTCTTCAATGCAGTGTACGATAACCGATGGGTATTTTCTGGTTAACCAGCGAAAAAATGCTGGAACTCCCATTTTATAAATTTAGAAAACGAAGGTGGTAGGTATAACTTAATAGGTTATAAAAGTTTACAACTAAGTTACCGGTACACTGTTAACATTACAGAAATTCTTCAGAGGAGACAAAATATAATAGGTTATCAGCCCTACATAGATCTGATCAATATATAAAATGCATTTAGTTTACATTTTCGGAAAAAATTCGGGTACACAATTCATGAAATATTTTCATCCAATTTCATTGATGGCAAGGAATAACGAAAACAAAAATGATTACGTTATTGACATTGATGACAAACCCCAACACCTAACACCTCTCTCGCTCGCTGAGTGCTGACACTGCCACTCCTCTGACACTGCACTGCGACTGCACTGCACTGAACTGAACGAACTGAGACTGAGTCAACAGTCAACGAGTCAACTCGAACTCACTCACTGAGTCACTCTCACTCTGCTCACTGGACTGAGTACTGAGTGAGGTGAGACTGACCACGTCCAACTACAGGCCACGGCCTTCGAAGTGGCAACGTCGTAAGTGGTGTTGTAACAGCTGTTTTGTTTGGAAGCAGCTAATGGTATTTGTGTATTTACCTAACCCGCCATGTTAAACTTCCCTATCCCAAGCGTGATGTATACAACTTCCTTACTTCTCGAGTGATGTAAAGTATCAAAAACTCACTCGGTGATGTAAAGAAACCCATTTAAATAGCATTGAGTGCATAACTTAAAAAATATACCTCTATAGGTACTGTTACACCAGAGCGAACAGGAGCGAACGAGCAGTAACGAATGCGAAATTCACTTCGGTGTGACCGGTGCAGCGAACACCAATCGGCCGTGTTTGGCAGTGCTCGGAAGTCGCATATTCGCGTTCGCACCTGCTCCATCCATTGTCGGTTTCAGCGCGAACGATCAAAGGAAATTCGCGTTCACTCGAGTTCGGTGCTCGCTTCAGTGTGACCACATCGGCACTGAGCTAAAATTATAACTGGAGGTAGCACTGCCATGGCAGAAGTCTGTCAAGACCGTGTCGCTGATTTTGTTAGGTTGGTATAGCAGTGAGTTTTTTTAACCAATGACATGGCTTCTATAACTAGGTCTGTATAGCAGTGAGTTTTTTCATCCAATAACATGGCTTCTTTATAACTCACACCTCACGCAAACATGGCGGCTGGCGACACGCATCTTTGACATTCAGTGCTACCTCCAGTTAGAATTATAGCTCAGTGCACATCGGAGTGATCGGAGTGAGTCTGGTCCTTGCCGGTGTCTGGATTACTGCTATCAACAAGTTGTTTAAGTCAAAGGTGGATTTTTTAGTTGTACTACCATATTTTATTATTCCTATTTTATTTAAATATTGAGTGGACTGATGAGAACATATTGGAGCTGATTGAAGAATACAAAGCGAGGCCAGTGTTATGGAATCCTGGTAGTGATGATTATAAACTGTTAAATAAAAAATTAACTGTTTCAAAATTATTTTTATTAAACAGTTAGTCTATTTAAAAACTGCAAGGTGAGACAATGCACGGTGACGATTCAGGGATTATCGTTGCCATGCAGTTCTTGTGGTGGCGGAGCACAAGCGAATGACGTTTCGATCAAGACACTTCGTATGTGTTCACTCTGGTGTGACTACTCCCATTCTCAGGTGTTCGCGAATGCTAGCGAACTACAGCGAACACCAATGAACGTTCGGTTCGCTCCTGTTCGCTCTGGTGTAACCGTACCTTATGGAGCCAATGACATTCAACGCTAGAAATCAGCTGTGCGCTTGAATGTTATTGTTATGCTTTAAAGTATTTTCCTAACCTAGCTTTTTTTTTTAAAAGAACGTTACTGTTAGAAGATGAGTGAAATGGATAATGATGAAAAATATTGTACGTAAACCCATGTATACTCACGTAGGTGAATGTAGGTGAACATTCACCCGCGTGATGTAAAAACGCTCTTGCTACACTTATAATGTAAATAGCTATTACGACAGATTGGTTACTGGACCATGACAATATTGAATTAGCTTAAAAATGTAGAGATAGAGATTTTTAATTCGTTTTGTTTCGGTTTTCAATTCTGTATGTTTTATTTTCAATATTTTAATAAATTTATGTGTCAGGGGTGACCTTCATAGTTGCAATACTCGAAACTGGAGCCAACTTGATCTTCCATCCCATCGACTCAGTAAGACTGCAAATAGTTTCCCCACTCTGGCCTTAAAGCTGTATAATAGTCTCAGTGTTGAAGTTAGAGGCCTACCAGTTAAAGCGTTCGTAGCGCACTAGGGAGTTGAAGACTAGGCCCCTTTACTCCATCAGGGAATTTTTTGGGACCCCTGACTCAGTTTGGACATCAGAATCCATCGCCTTGTATATAGTGTATATAGTAAAAGTTTTAGTTTTAAATTTTTTTTAACGCAATCTACCCAGCTATGGCTGGGCAACGATGAAGAACCGGTAAAGGTAAAGGTAAATAAAGTGCGAATTAATGATCTGATGTCACATGTCTGCCATGTTATCTTATTGGACGTCTGTCACTAAACAACTCCACTTGCGACGTTGCCAATTCTACAAGGCCGCGGCCTGTAGTTAAAGGTGGCCGTGGACTGACGGTCTAGTGGTCTGCTGACTGATGGTTATTTGGTGCACGGCCCCCTTGGTGACATCTATATATATATATATATAGTGTAAGAAACTGGCCCTTATCTGTAGTTTTGCAAAGGGGTTTTCTTTTTTTGAAATCTGTATTACATCGTTTGGCCAGGATCTTCCATCAAAGTTGGGTATTCCCCCATGAGGTTAACATTGGGGAATCTATATATTTAATTAGACACTTTGTCTTCACTAATTTGAGAGACCACTGGCCGTAGAAACTTGGTAGCTGTGTCCTAATTTATAAACATTAATGTAATAAAAGATTGAAAATAAAACATATAGAATTGGAAACTATATAGACTTTTTGTACATTTAAAGTGGAGTTTATATTTTTATAGCCCAGTGACCAAGCATTCATATTCTAAAATACCCCCGCCGCAGCAAACCTGCAGACTAAGCGAATTTCCATTTGCCTGATTGGATTTAGACTAAAATGTCTCCTTAAAAATATCACATTTATTCCCTATTTAAATAGAATCAGTTTAACACATACTTAGGTTTGCTGCAACAGGGAGGGTAAAAGTGTTTTTTTTATGTAAAATGTTAATAGTTAGTAATAAATAAAAACATTTTCCAAATTTGGTCAAAATATGTTAATAAACAAGCACACTACAACGGTTTACTTATTCTCCATAAGAATAACATGAGAATTTTAAATTAACAATTTTTTGGAATTTTCTCCGTAACCATTAGGAGCATTATAACGCTTCAATATACTAAATTATTTGTTTTTTTTACCCTTTGAGGCCCCCTTTAAGTTTGATTTTTTTGGAAAAAAACTAATATATTGATATAAATCAATAAAGGCAAGTCCTCTAAACATGTTTTGAACATTTTTTTATTTTTTTTATTTTTTTTTTTAATTTACAGGCTTGTCCTTTGTAGAGGACACTGGGCAAATATTAAAGTGAAATTCTCATAAATAAAAATAAAAGCTATATTTTTTAGTAGTTTACAGAACTAAAGTATTAAAAACTGTATAAATACAAAAACTACTTACTTATAAATTAAAATAATAACATTAAAATAAAAACAAAACAACCAAATTTTCAAAAAAATTTAAATTTTTTAGTTTTTTTTTAAAGTTTGTAATGAAAATGTTCAACCATTCCAGTTAGAAGCTGTTATTATGTGTATTACCACTTGCTTATTACAGTGAACACATAGAAATAATTTTCATTAAAATTTCATTTAAAAATTTTTTGTTCAAATATATGTCCCCTCTAGAGGACACTGGGCGTATGTCAAAGTGGACATGATAAACACTAGGGATCCAATGAAAAATAGACACAAAATCAGATACACAATGTTATGAATTTATTTAGTAAACAACAATAATTATCTCTTTCCATTTCAAAACCAATATGACCAAAATTCACTTCATATTTTGTTGTAGTATTTACTTGTTCATTGTTGTAGTATTTACTTGTTCATTACTTGTTCTTAGATATTCAAGTTCAGGCACATTGCCACTTTCAATTAGGTCTAAAATATTGTTAGCTTCCACTTTTCTGTAACTCATTTTATAACCTCTAACAAAAACCACTAAATCACTGTTGACAAACTGTACCCAGCTGTTCTAAGCATTACAACCATTACAACTCACCATGGAGTAATGGGACGATAGACTACAACATTTGTCTGCTGTCCTGATGAGGCAAAATACTGTTATATTATTGTTCCTACGTTGCTAAGGAACAAAATAATGTACCAACCTTTCATAATTGTTGAATTTATAATAATGTATAACAAATATATCGTGTGTATGTCATGCCACCAAATTGATACTGCTGTGGCGGCCGTGCCCTGACGTCATATGTTTTTTGTAACTTTAGTAAAATCCAACAGAATGAGCTGAGATTGATATTTGTGTGTTGCCAAAGTGTCCTGTTGACAGGACAGTGGGTTTTAAGGCACTAAACAATGACCAGCCTTCACAATAAATTAATAAATGGCATGTCCCCTAAAGAGGACAGTGGGCCTGAAAGGGTTGCTCTACAAAATAGTTTGGAAAGAAATTTCAAAATTTTATGTTTTTTGGGTCAAAAATAGGAAAAACCCATTTTTACCCCATAAAAGCCCCCATAAATCCCTGTTCCCATGGTCCGATCATGCTGGTTCGCGAACTCGTTCGAATAAACGTAGGTTTACACGTTTGTACCAAATTTCATCAAAATCGGATCATTTTTGCTCGAGTTATCGCGCTAACGGACACATATATATATATATATATATATATATATATATATATATTATTTTCTTGCATTTTTAGGGCTACTAATATAATAAAATTAAAACATATATAACAAAGTACCCTTTTAGTAATTATTTTATTTTTCATGACGACATGTTTCGGAACTAAGTCCATTGTCAAGTCATTTTTACCATAACCTCATTCTTTAAACTAACAAAATTAAAAATATAATCATATGTAAAAATAATAAAATATGTTAACTAAATCTTAATACATTTTGGTAGGTATTAATTTTTTTTTTCATTATACTATATGAATGTTTTTCTTTCTTTCCTTAGTTTTTCAATTTTATCGTAGATAGGTTGGTTTAATTTTGGAATCATTGTGTTGAGTATGTTGTTGGGGTCCTTTTTGTTGTGTATATAAATATTTAGCTCTTCTTTCACATTAAGTTTCTCACGTTCTTTTTCAAATTCTAAAATAGTTAGATTGTCTTTCATGTTTTTATAACTGTGGTCTGTGTTCATTATATGGTCGGCGAAGTTCGACTTCATTGATGTCTGATTTTTTGATTTCAATGCTTGTAGATGTTCCTTGAATCTTGTTTTAAAAGTTCGAGATGTTTGACCTATATAATAATTGCTACAGTCACTACAGTTTATCTTATAGATTCCTGATTTGTTGTACTTTTCGTCTTCATTATCTTCTGTGTGTTTGATTTTTTTATTGATTAATTGGAAAATATTGTTCTTAGTTCTGTAACTTACCCTTATATCCGAATTTTTAAACGTATTTCTTACTGCTTTAGTCATATATTTGTTATAAGGTATATACGTATATACGTATATGATTATATTTTTAATTTTGTTAGTTTAAAGAATGAGGTTATGGTAAAAATGACTTGACAATGGACTTAGTTCCGAAACATGTCGTCATGAAAAATAAAATAATTACTAAAAGGGTACTTTGTTATATATGTTTTAATTTTAATATATATATATATATATATAAATATTAATTTAGGTGTTCACGTAAGGGCTGCTGATATATTAAATATTTAAGTAAATAAGTACAACTGAGCACCCTGTATATTATATTTTATAAAAAGAAGTGACATGTTTCGGACATTAGTCCATTTTCAAACTTCAAAATACATTATACACTTAACTGTTGTTTATATTGCTTGTTTGTAAATAAATATAATTTATATACACAGATGATTTATAGAACTAGACAGGATTTGGAAAAACATTTTTGTTACTGATTATTTAATTTTAAAATTTGGTCAAAGATTGGGTTTCTTGAAGGAATTTGGCTATTTAAAAAAAATATGATTTGGATTTTTTAGATTTTCTTCGTATATGAAATATTCTTCAGTTGAATCCATTCGATTTCCTTTGTTTAAAACTTTTAGAATTTTCATGTTGTTTTTTAAATTTGTGTAATTGTGGTTGATCGATAAAAGGTGTTCAGCAAAGTTTGATTTCATGGAAGTTCTGTTGTTACTCTTAAGAGCTTGAATGTGCTCTTTGAATCTAGATTTAAAAGAGCGTCCTGTCTGACCAATGTAGAAGTGTTCACAATCAGTGCAGTTAATTTTGTAAATGCCAGATTTGTCATAGATGTCTTGATGTTCTTTATTTGTATTAATGTTATTTGTTATCATATTGAAAGCGTTATTTTTTGTTTTAAAGCCAATTTTGTATTCAGAATTTTGAAAAGTTTTTCTTGTAGTCCTGTTAAGAGTTGTATTGAATGGGATACTAATGAATTTCTCTTTCTTCTTTCTTTCTTTGTTGTGTTCTTGATTTTGATTTTTCTTTCTTTTGATGCTTCTAATCATATTGTAGATAATGTTTTGCTTATATCCATTCCTTGATGTTAAGTATTTAATTTTATTTAATTCTATCTCGTAATTTTTCTTTGTCATTGGAATGTTCAAAAGACGATTTAGCATGGATCTGAGAGCAGATAGTTTGTATTTCCAAGGATGGTTAGAATTTGATGGTATCATTAGGTCTGATTGAGTTGGTTTTCTGTAAATTTTGAAATCGTGTTTGTTTATGTTTTTTGAAATAGTTAGGTCGAGATAGTTTATTTCATTATCGTTAATTTCTTGGGTAAATTTTATTTTCTTGGACAATGTGTTCAAATATTTAAAAAAATCTTTACTTTCCTCTTCATTTCCTTCAAAAAGGCAAATGACATCATCCACATATCTGTACCAATACCGTATTTGATTTTTGAGTGGTACGGATTTAAATCATTGTTAAGAGGGTTCCCTACCCCCACCGAAAAACGTCAGAAAACCGCTTCGCGCGGTATCATATAGCGATTCTAGTTTTAACATTTAAATTGTGAACCAAACACCATTTTGTACATAAAGAGTGGTTCTACTAAGTTTGCTTTTTAAAAAATGTCTATGCTTACGCAATCAAGGGCAACGACTTGTCAAAGTTAGTGAACTTTACACATAACTGAACTTTGACATAAACTAGACATGAAAAACTAACTTCAAAATGTATAATGGAATTAGAGATCTATACTCGTGTTGGTTAGTCTATAATTTATTGCAACTTTTGTGATTTTTCTTTATAAAAAATGTCAATCTTTAACTCCCATCACATACATGGTTGTTGACATGCTAATGGGTGAAAGTACGGTACAATCATGGCCGCCTTTAACTGGTACAATATGTCAGTTTGCTTACACTGTTTATTACATGTTGTGATGTTGTACGGAGAATAAATTTCAGAGGCCTTAGCATGCTAGGTCTTTTGCCTGTTGCCTCCAATCGTTCATTAATGATATTTAACCCACTTTGCTACTTCGCTACCGCTCCGTCTCTGAATTGGAAGTGAATTCATGAGATTTTAAATTTCCTTTGTTTGTGTCAATGGTAGTAAAAATATATTATATATTAGTGAGTTTCTAGGAATTATATCGGATATTAACGGGTATTCGTGGTTACATCCACATAACCTAACTCCGTCGCTACATTTTCATCACTGTGATTGTATGAATTTGTTGTAGAACATTTTCTAGTTTTCCATCATGCCATTGCTCTACAAAAATCCGTTTGAGCGAAATGAAGAACCCGATGACTTGGATGATAATGAAGAGGTATTTTTCTGTGAACTTACAAATGAAATCTTCAGGGACTATGAGTAAGTAGAAAAACTTGTTGACAAAAGTTGTTGAATTTCTAGGGTAGGTAACTTTAATCATTTTCCAAATTTACCTGATAACTTAGGTTCTAAGCTTCCTGGGCTAGACTCACTGACCTCTGGGTCACTGATAAAATAACCGGGTAGCCTAGGTAAGGTTTTTCATGGCATGATGATACTAAGTCAATCTTAGGTTATCTCTGTGGTTTTCAATAACTTAACCATAACTTAACCCTCGAGTGGGCACTTGCGGAGTTTTCCTCCGCACTTGTAGTTTTTGTTGATATAAATATGCATAATGTGTGTCGGCAGTTGTGTCTGGCTCCATTCTTCATGCACCTTATCCCAGGAATGCCCCTTAGCTATTTTTACCTCCAAATTCCTTCTTATTTTGTTGTCATTTGCTATTCAGTGACACGGTGTCAGTTTGCAGAGGTTTTCTCTGCGTGCGCCCTATCGCGTAGCGTAGAGTTTATTTTCTTCTGCGCTCTGTCAAACTGTGTGTAAGCCTATTTATATAAATAAAATTAGAGTTTTGTCTGTAGCCTACATTGCTCAGAATCATAAACTTTTAGGTTAATTTTACGTTGTATACATTAAAGAAGCCGAAACAAGTCTCATCTCAATTTCTGTCTGTTTGTCTTCCTGTCTGTCACGGCCCAAGAGCCATTTTACGCGGCCTTCTCCTGATAAACGAGAGTAGGTACCTAACTTATCAAGATGCAAATCATTTTAATGTATTCACTGGATTGGCGAGAGTCTCTTTAGCTATTAAAATATGGCCTCACTACTTTGTAAATAAAATTACCGACGTTTAAAAAACCAATTTAATGCGATTTTTGTCCCAAGTTTTCTCCCAATGTTCATCACATTATCATCTATAAAATAACGATCAGCTGTTCGGATCAAGATTATTTTTTCTAGCTGTCACTGATATATGTTTCATTGAATGTTATGATGTCATGAATGTCAGTGAATGTCATGTTGTCATTGAATTACAAATACTGCAACCATTTCCCATCACTTTTTGAAAGCAAATCCAAACCAAGTGAGATTAAAAACGTTTTCCCTTACATAACGGATTTAATTAATCTCAAGTGCAATAATGTGCAATAATCTTTTAGAGCTACTAGTTCAGTATTGAAACAAAAATCAACAGGCCGTCCAAGGTCAGCCTGGACGCCAGAGAACGTCCAGAGTGTTGAGTAGAGAGAAGCTGTGGAAGCTAGTCCTTTGCGGCCTGCACGTAAACAAGCTGCAGCTTTGCAAATGTTTGGCTGCTCGGTAGAAGAATATTACAAAACAACCTGCACTTTCATCCATATAGACCTACTTTTATTTAACTTAACTTCATCTCCCTGGAGTTTATTTGTATAATTATTGGGAATTTAAGTGGTAAATGACCTATCAGTCTTGTGGTTGTGAAGGAGAGTTTCAAACTACAAGTTAATTACTGTAGCCTATATTTCACCAGATTATCATATAAGTTAGATCTTTGATCTTTTGTTGTTTGCAGAGACTACTGTGAAAGAATTATTCTTTGCAACTCCTTGGTTTGGTCATGTTCTCTCAGTGGTAGAGCTAACCTTACATACCAAGAAGCTCTTGAATCAGAGAAAAATGCAAAAGCAATGCTTCATGACTTTCCAATGGAGGTAAGTTTTGCATTGGGGTTTGTTTATTTGGTGTTTGGTTAAAGCTATGATGATGTTGGTTTAAACCTAGGCAATTTTTTGTTTAAGATAAATAGAAACTTACACGTAATATAAATTAACTAATCTCCCTCCTTCCTCGCTCAACATATTAAGTACCATGCCAGTTTTTGATTTTATTGCCGCAATGCCAATCAGAATTGTAGTTCAGTTTTCAGCTATATGATGTTTATTATACATACTTGTTAATAGTTACAAGGTTTCCATACAAAAAGTAAGATTTGGACACAAAAAAAATTTGGACCAATCGGGTCTGCACTGAACATTTTTAGGAAAAAATTGCTAAAATAAGTAGTGCCGACCCGATCGGTCCTCAGGTAATTTTTCGATTTACGAGGGTAATTTACTCCTTGTGGTTGGCAGTAGTGTCATTTCCAGCCGTCCCCCCCCCTCAGCAATTTTATTTCTACATTTATGTGTGTTGGTTTCAAATTTTATGCAGTTTAAACTTACAAAAAGTACAGGTTTTTCGGCACGTTTTAACAACGGGCGACTTTAACGTTTTATAACCAAAGAAACTACTAATCTACGTAATCATTATGAAATTTGTATAGCTTTTAGAACATAAACTTGTTAAGCATATAGCCTATTTCTAAGTTTTAGAAATTTTAATCAATTAAAAATATTCTGTTATGGTTTTTGTAAAAGCATATTATTTCAGGGATGTAACAAGCTAGAAACTATGTATTATCTTGAAATAAAGCTCTTAAAAAGATACGAATGAAATGTTAAGGCTAAGTGGTCTTTAATATATAGATGTACGTTATATAACATAACAGGATGAATAACAGGGTTGTCGAGCGATAACTGTTGTTAGGTTTTTCTGTTAGGCGATTTCCCTGTTATTAAAATAACGTTATCAATTCTGAGTTTACTTATGCATTTACACTTTCGTTCTATGCTGATTCTCACGATAGTACAACACTGATTCGATTCTTTTAACTTCATAAGTTATACTGTATTAATTTTTAGTACAGTAGACTCTCGCTCATCCAGATCGGCCTTGTCCGGACTCCCGGTAGTCCGGATCGGCAATCGTGATTTTTTTAGCAGCACAGTTCATTAGAAGTCCGATTATCCAATATTATTAAATAATCAAAAAAATCGGATAACACGGCAGTAAAAATTATTACTGGTGGAAGTGCATATGCACAGCTATCATTACTGTGAACCTGGAACAAAACTGAAAAGCCGGCTATATACAGTACTGTGTATTTGCTCGACTCTCGATAGTCCTGATTTTTCGTAATGTAGATAAGCAAGAGTCTACTGTATTTACGTGTAGTGAAATCCTTGTTTATTATTATTTACTGTGGTTTAGATTACTGTAATAATGCTTTGAAGTGGATGATGATATTTATACATTTACATATTTTTAATTATTGTTATTATTTTTACTTAGACTAAGGTAAATGCCCCAAATACCAACACCCTAAGTTCAATTCAAGTTTACATCTGCAAATAAATAACTAGTAGTACGCTTATTCTGCGCGTAACGGGATGAGTGAACATGAGCGCAATAATGAAAGAGTCCACCCACACCTAGCCTACTTACCGGTGTCACTGGTGAACACAATAATGTTATTTGTATGGGCAAATCAACCAAATCTCAGTCAACAACAATCCTAACTTCTCGTCCATTAATTAACCAAAGTCATTGGTAATATACATAATGGATTTCCAACAGTTATCGATAGGAGGTAAATCCGTCGTTCCTGTACAAAACGTCTTTTGATTAAATGAAGCCTATTACCATATTTGTTATGAGGCCTATCATAAAAAAAAACTAAGCCAAACTGAACTAATCTAACTTAAATAAATTGCCAAAGCACAGTGTAAGGAAACTCCAAAAAAATATTGTATTGCTTACAATGATGATTTATAACAACGATAGCGCTATTATATAATCTCAAAATGATTAAAAATCCAATAAATGTTCATCTAACTAATGAATCTTAATGCCATAAACGGTTCCCACACTCTGCACTGCTTGAATTTACCACTTCCATCGCCACTACCTACGTCGTGGACCTGTTTCCCTCCCTTCCCACAGCATTTTAGTATTGAATGTACATTAATCTATCTACCACAAACTGTTTTCACACTCAGAACTTCTCGCATTTACCAAATCCTTCCCCACTTCCTACGACGTGCAACTGTCACAAAGGGTTTCTACACTCCAGAATGCTCGCCTCGACTACTTCCATTACCACTTCCTACGTCATGGACCTGTTTCCCTCCCTTCCTATGGCATTTTAGTATTGCAGGTACATTAATCTAACTGTCACAAAGGGTTTCTACACTCCGGACTGCTCGCCTTGACTACTTCCTTCACCGCTTCCTACGTCGTGGACCTGTTTCCCTCCCTTCCTATAGCATTTTAGTATTGCAGGTACATTAATCTAACTGTCACAAAGGGTTTCTACACTCCGCAGCGCTCGCCTTGACTACTTCCTTCACTACTTCGTACATCGTAGACCTGTTTCCCTATATTTCCATAGCATTTAAGTATTACAAATACATTAATTTAACAGTCATAAAGGGTTTCCGTACTCCTTTCTTTTCACTGCTCACCTTTCCGCTTCCTTTACCACTCTCTACGTCGTCGACCTGTCCCCCCCCCCCTACACATAGCATTTTAATATAAAAATATATCAACATCTTTGAATATTTAATATTCAATGCCAACATTAAATTGAATAATGTAAAAAGCTGCTTTGTTCTAAATACATCCATATCTATTTTTAATTTAAAGGTGAATTTTAATACTGAACATAAAGTTCAATTTATTATTCTGAAAGCTGTGAAATTATAATGATATATATTCATAGATGCCAAACTGTTTACTCCATGAATGAAAGAGCTTAGAGTAAAAGTCGTTCTCTCTGTCTTAAGTAGACAACAAAATTGTTAATCGCAAAACGTAAACAAATAAAAAGAAGAAGAAGGTAGCTCCTAATGTTATTCTTATGGGACAAATTAAAAAATGTTTTTTAAGTATTCTATAATTACTACTGGGCGGAATCGTCTAGAATTTTAATGGTGTTTCAGGTCACCCACTGGTGTCATAATTATTTGTGCAAAATTTGAACGCTATAAGTGCGACGGTTCTTGAGTTTTTGGTGCGAACACACACACACACACTCACACACTCATACACAAGCGGACAACTTTTCTCCGACTCCGCTATTACACGATACATAGGATTCGTTCACTTCGTTCACTCATCTATTATAGGTTATGTTTAAGCTTTCGAGTATTTTGGAGTTAATAATTTCGTGATATAAACTCTCAGATTACATAAATAGATAAAAGGAAAACATCCAATTACCACTATCGATATGCACACGACCGTTTTTGGCAGCATGGACCAAACAGCCGAACCCCATCATCTCAATCATACTTACCCCTAACCATATCTTAACCGTTGCAAAATTGACTTCCCAACGCACTCCAAAACCTTCTGATAAACACTTGTCATTTTTATAGATCAACTGAAGACAGTACTTGTTATTTCAGTTATTAAAAACCTTGTTTAACCAAATAAAACAATCTTATCATAAACTATAGCTCATCCCCTGGTTTTATTAAAAGAAATTAAAACACAAATCGTAAAATTAAACCTAAAATAATATTTAAAAATTTGTCAAACCAGGCACCCAGTGTCACTATTAACAAGAACTAGACAAGAAAAAACAATCTTTATATTTTTACAATGTTATGAGAAGTCTACTTGTGTTAGTTTGAATATTCTATTGTGATACTGCTTGTACTTGTTTTGCGATGTGAGGGTGGTGACAATAACATGGGCACTTGAACGGCATGTGTATGCATCCCTTATGGCCCTAATCACTCCGAGCAGTAGGCCTAGTAGCACCGCGTCAGCATAGTGGTAGTGGCAATATGATGCATACCACCCGACAACATCCCTATAGTCTTTAGACTTTACCCGTGTTTATAACCGGTGTTGAAACTACGTTGATACGTAATGTTGAAAAAAAGTTTGACTCAACCAAAGATTATCTCTTCCAATGAACTTAAAAATTTGAATGACTTATTAGCCAGATAAAAAAAATCCCAAAAACTATTGCTTCTAATGAACTTAAAAATTTGAATGACTAATTAGCCAGATAAAAAAATCAATTTGCAAAATATTTAAAGCTTTATTAATTTTTATTTCTAGATATTAAAAACAATATTCCCCCCTCAGCCGTGCGTTTCCTGGAAGCTTGCCTCCATTGGATCAGGGCTAAATGAAGTGTAATTTTAAAGCTTTTTTTACCCACTCTGCTAGGAAAGTATACAAATCACTAATTTTTCAGAAGTTTTTTGTAAAAACGAACTATTATATCATTCTGCAAGTAATTGAAACTTGAAACGTTTATTTACGTTATTCAGTCAGCTGAAACATGTGAATTAAATTAATCAAAACAAACTAATATTTGTTTCTCAAATCTGAGTGTCAATAAGTCAAATCAAATCAAATCAAATCAAATCATTTATTGTAGTCAGACAATATACATTGTATTACAAACGTCAACTTAAATTACTTCTAAATATAAACAATAATATAATGCAAATAATAAAATAACAAAACTGGTAGCCTACTATAACACTGATAACACATATGAAAGAATAATTACAGAGCAGGTGGACTTAGCTTCAGACTGGAAGTTTGTTAAGCAGTTTTGGCCCGAGATTTTGAGGTAATGATGCAGCTAATTCCAATCTATGAGAGGTTTGTCTATGATGGTGTCTTTGCCTGGTATTATAATTATGAATATCTGCACCGGTTACTTTTGTTGTTGATTTAAACCTATAATATAATAGAATTTCAATAATATATATCGAAGGTAACGTTAGAATTTCAAGGGATTTAAAAAAATTTCGGCAAGGTGTTCTTCTGTACACACCTGCCATAATACGAATGGCTCTTTTTTGCAACCTAAAAACGCGTAAAAAATTTGATTGTATCGCAGACCCCCAGAGAATAATTCCATACCTTAATCTTGACTCTATGAGTGAAAAATAAACTAATCACATAAGTAATAAATTTTGATATTTTGTGAATCTATTCATTAAAAATAATTGAGACGACAGCTTGGAACACAGTGCATCAATGTGAGGTGTCCAAGAAAAAGTGTTATCAAAAATCAATCCTAGATATTTAACTTCTGTTTCTAAGGGTAACTCAAATTCGTTCATAAATATTACTGGGCTGGCCTCAGAATGGTTGGCTTTTGAAAAATGTATACAGCTTGATTTGCTTGGATTAACGTGTAAATTATTGCTATTAAAGTATTGATAAAGGTTTGATAGTTTTACAAAGCTATCAATTTCTAGGTTATCTAATGATTTATTTTCAAACAAGAGGGCTACATCGTCAGCGTACATAGTTATGTTTAAGTTAGGGAAGGTCTTAGTTATACTATTTGTATATAAAATGTACAAAATAGGCCCCAAAACTGAGCCCTGGGGAATTCCGAAATTCACTTGTAGCTTATTTGAATGTACACAATCGTTAACCTTTACACTTTGAGTTCTCTGTAGAAGATACGACTTAATCCAGTCAAGGGGCAGGCCACGGATTCCCAGATTATAAAGCCTCTCAAAAATTACACCGTGGTCCAAGCAATCGAATGCCTTCTGAAAATCCAGAAATACCCCGATAGCTTTGTTTTTATTATTTACAGCACTGATTATTTTGGTAATTAAGTCAACGGTAGCATCAATCGTACCTTTCCCCTTTACAAATCCAAATTGTTCTTTACATACAAGGTTGTTTTTGAATAAAAAATCAAGAAGCCTTTGCGCAAAAACATGCTCGTATATTTTTGAGATATGTTCGCGATTGGACGCCAATTTTCAGGAAGGTCAGATTTACCGGTTTTAAAAACTGGACGAATTATTGTTTGCTTTAGAACACTGGGAAATATGCCCTGCAGTAAAGAGGCATTTATTATATCAGCAAGAGGTTGACATATGTAATTTGCACAGTGACGTACAATTTTGTGACTAACCCCATCATATCCACAAGAATTTGAGTTTTTCAAATTCGTTATAATTTTATAAACTTCTCGTGCATCTGTTGGGTATAGGGCAAGAGAATTGGGGCAGGTGGTATCGATTTGATATTTTAAGGTGGGTTCAGATATTAATTGATGTTTCCTTTTGCCAATATTGGTGAAATACTGGTTGAGTGATTCAGGACTTGGCATATCAGCAGGTAAAGGTGGCTGTTTACTTTTTTTGTCAGAGTTTATTATATTCCAGGCCTCTTTTGATACATTATTGGTTCTAGCTAGTTGTCTAGTTATGTGGGCTGATTTCGAAGCTTTTATAACTCTTCTATAAATAGTTTTGTATTTAATGTAATAGTTTTTAAATTCAGCAGATCTGTTAATTTTTCTTTTGAAATCTAATTCTTTAAGCTTTTGTGATGATATTATTATGCCTTTTGTTAACCATGGTTTTGTAATTTTTTTATAGTTCTTCTTTTTATTTTTCAAGGGACAGGCCAATGAAAGATCATACATAAAAACATTTAAAAAATCTATTAGTTTTTGTTGAGCATCCGTTGTTTCTCTCAATGCCTCCCAACTTTCCTTTGAGAGCAGCAAGTTTAAAGTGTTTAAATTATCAGGGCAAGTGTCATGGAAAGTCTCTGTCGAAGTGATTCGATTTGTTTTCTCAACAAAAGCAATTTCAGTAGGGAGTTGCAGTCGGCCTATCTGAGCGAAATGATCCGAGAGTCCAGTGCCTACCACCTCCACCTGCAACACCTCCTGTTCCATGTTGGATAGCACGTGATCTATAAGGGTGGATGACGTGGCTGTTACTCTCGTTGGTGACTTGACAAATTGCTTTAGATTAAATTCATTCATTAAATCTTTTAACCTATTTTTATCATTGTTTGGTACATGCCAGTCTATATTTAAATCACCTAGAACTAAACATTGTCTCTCTTTTGACAAGTGTTTTGATAGTAATTTGTACAATTTATTAAAAAAGCTGTTAACATACAATTTACGATTGTGAGGTGGGCGATACACACCGAGTATAGTGATTTTTAAATCTTTACTTACAACTAATTCAATTCCTGCTGATTCAAAAACCATTTCCTTATTAAAACTACTAATATTTACTTATTTACTAAGTCTCAAACAAACAAACTTAGTCTGTCCTTATCTAAAAAAATTACCCCGGAGATGTAAACAGATTATTCACTTTAAAGAAGTCCAAACAAGAACAACACAAAAGTAAGTGCCGCATGGATTCTTTAGCTTTTATATTTCTTTATTTACGACATAGCCTTAATTTTGATATACGTACCGACCATTATACAGTTTATATTTTTAAGAATTCCATCTTCAAACACCACTTCTTATCTTTTCTTAACTGCGGGTTTCAATGAATGGTTATGTTGTGTTGAATTTGTTACTCACAGGAAACGGTTTATAGAAGTTTTGATTCGGTTCTTTACCAAGGGACGTAGAACGCTCAGTTGTATCCATTAAAGTTTTTTAAACTCATTTAAGCCCTTTAGGTTTGTTACCACATAAACCCACGCTAAAAAGAACTCTATTATCATGTTGATGAGAAACCTAAGCATTATCCAAGATTGGTTATAGCTCACTTGTACACCTACACTATCAAAGCGATGTTGGCTGACTCCGGTCAAACTGTCATTGTCATACTACGCAAAAGTCTGTATCCTTTCAAACTGACTAAGAAGGAATTTTCCTTAAAAGTTAACCCCCACCTCTCATGACTTTCCCTTATGACTTAAATAAGGCATATGGACAGACGCAAACAAAAGAAAGATTGCACATGCCAAACCAAGATCAGGACCTGTTTTTTACACATTCAGATTTTGTGGCTTGATCAAGGGTGCGCTGTTTTAGTGAAAACTATGTCTATGTAACAACAAAGCCTTTACAACAAAAAGCGTATATGGCCCACTTCCATCATAATGTTCAAATAGGTTCTGTAAAAACAAAAATAACTTAATATTATGCTTCGAAAAGGTTATTTATCTAAAAAATAAACCCACTTCTATTCTTGAAATCAACGATGCACTTACTACACAACTGTATGTTTTGTACTTCAATAAGTGGTTTGGTACTTCAATAAGTGAGATTCGAGAAAGATTTCTTGAGAATGATTCGGATGGGTTGGCTAGTAATTTTATATTTTGGATCAAAGTATTGCAAATCTTTATGGGGAATTTAATAACTAAGTTATTTTATATTCGGCTGATTGGCTGGGTAGCTGAGTGGTTATAGTGCTCACCTAGCAATCAAAAGTTTGCCGGATTGAACCTAAGAAAAGTCATCAGCTTTTTGATGGTTCGAAACTGGACCCAGCTGTTCCTGATCATTGGGCTTTAAATAAATGATCCTCTGACTAATGAAACAGCTGATCATCTTTGTCAGTAACAAAGCTACACAGCTCATCTCACTCCTTCTACACTTATATTACCCTTCACTCATATTTGGGTTGAAATAGGCAAATAGGTGGTACATCCCATCTCAAAGATTGACAATTTATTTTTTAAAAGTCTAATTTTTCTATTGTAGCCTATAGTCTTAATCCTAAACACATTGGGGAGCGAGCTGGTCTAATGGTTAGAGTGCGGGACTTCGTTTCCAGAGGTCCCGGGTTCAAATCCCGCCAAATCACCAATGGATTTTATCTATGTGATAATGCTGCAACCCCTAGGTCTAGCCTGAAGTAATGTGAAAAACAATTCCGGGCTCGTGCCTAGCGTCCTAGGAGAAAAAAAACCTAGTACACACATTTACAATGTTATAATTTGTGAAATATTTTTTGGAACACGGGTTGACCAGAAAACAAGAAATTGTAACATGCACTCCTTGTTAAAGTGACTCCGAGGGCCAAAAGCCAAGAATCTCTGTCCGACCAAATAACAACATCATGAAAATTTATAACTTGCAGTATTTTTATATTTTCTCTGTAAACATTAAGCGTACCATACAGCAATGCTTCAACATACTTAATTTTTGTTTTGAAGCTCTAAAAAATTGTTTGAAAAGAAATGACAAAATTCTATGTTAAGAGGATCAAAAAAGGGAAAAACAAATTTTACACTCAAAAACCCCCTATAAAATCTCGTTTCCATATCAACCACACCCTCTGATCATGCTAGTTTGCAATCTTGTTAGAATAAAATGTAGTACTAAGTTTCTCTTTGTTGAATACCTGTCATAACTCCCCAGAGAGACTGGGTCAAATGTCTAGGATACGTACGGTACACAGAGAGACTGGGTCAAATGTCTAGGATACGTACGGTACACAGAGAGACTGGGTCAAATGTCTAGGATACGTACGGTACATAGATGTGCGCATATGTTGATTTTTGAAAGAGTACCCGCTCGCTCCAACTTGTGTGCGGTCGTTGCAGACATTTGACATCTGTCCTCAAACCTCATTTGTGTGCAGTTCGCAATTTTGTTCAAATTTGCAACACACACTCACAATTTATCAGCACACTTCAACTGTCCTCAAATGTGCGCATTTGTGCCAACAAATGTTAGCGTTAAAACCGGGCATTTTAAAATGCCTAATTAAATACACAACTCAAATAAAGTCTTCCATCAGGCTACCTCCATTGGTACTGTCACTGTCAAAAATTTACTTGAGATTTACTGTTTCAGCTTCGCATTCCTGTCTTCTATCTCACTACTCTGACTCAGCGCAAATCCCTAAACGAGTTGGCTGAGGATGTGTATTGTTTTGCTAAAGACAGATATTTTGTTGGGGAAAACGTTGAAGTTGATATCCCTGGAAGCTCACTGTAAGTAAATTTATTTTAAACAAAAACGCTAATTTATTCTTATAGTTTTTTTTTTATGACTTGTATCAAAAATAAATTTTCATTTAATAGCTATTCTAGAACTATATACTAAACAAATCATACAGTAAGTTTAAATACAGTAGAATTGAATTAGTAATGTTATTTTCATAATTTTACAGTACAAGCTGCTACATTATCCGTGTTATTGATCCCACACCAGAAGAACTAAAGACAGTTGAAAGACAAGCGGTTAAGTAAGTACATAAACTACATAAACATAAGTACAAGGCCTTTATGTTTTGAAGAAACTTTTGTAAATATTGTATATAGTTCATAATAAATCAGATCAGTTTGTCGCAGTCGCTGAATTGTCACTAATCCAGGATAAAAACCCTCTAGGGAAAAGCTAGAAATACTTTGTAGGAGTGTGAAAGGGACTTTTCTTCTTCAAAAGGGAAAACTTCCTTACAGAACATAAAGTTCCTCGACTGAATACAAAGCTAAATCAACAATATGTTCTTTTTACTCGGTTTTAAACATATTAACATTCCCTTATTTTTTAGTTTTTTGTGGATTTTTTTCATAAAGCTGTTTTTAGCAATATTGTTTTCTTTTTGTAGAACTGTAAATTAGCTTCTAACTAAGTTAGCACATACCATATCCGTCCTCTCCTTATTCAATTTGAAACCTTGGACAGATTTTTCACATCTTGATGCGAGTGACTTCATGGAAGGGCTCACCAGTTCATCTCAGTCTCATCAGTATCGTGTATGTCCTGGGTTAACCATTTTCTAGTGCTTCTTTAACAAATTACTCTTTGTATGCAATTCCAGTTGCAAAATCAGATGAAAGTTTTTCTCCTTGAATGTCCATCTCTCTAATGCCTATTTTTGAAGTTCTTAAGCCAGCCTGAATCAGCTTTGAAATTAGAGGTGTGCAAGCAGCTCGATTTTAGAGCCGAGCCGAGCCTGGCCTACAAGCTCGAGCACAAAGTCGGAAAGTCACAAAAAAAAAAACACTGACAGCTGATGTTATTTTATAGTGAAAATGGCGTAACACAGAGCTGGAAACCTTACAATCTAAAATTTTATATTCTGTGAATCAGGGTTTTATCTCTTTTTAGTAGTGCAACCTACCAGAGAATTACTAAACAATGTTAAAAAAAGTGTGTTGGATTGGCCACCTATGCTGATTGGACGAGCTGATGAGGAAATCAGTAGTGGCTAGCAGTGCTGGCCGTACGACCTGCGAGGAACGGTGCAGTGTAAAAATAACTAGCTGATATAGAACCTAGCCATGTCCAGTAGGACTGGCCATTTAAGTTGAGAGGAACTTTCCTAAAATAGCTTTGAGACCGCAAAGGGTTAAGTAACATAAACTCACCATTCAACCAAGTTCAAACAATGATTTGACCCTTGAGTACGTTTTACTACTTGAGTAATAAATATTATAAAAGAAATAAGGTGATTGATTGTTTGTCATAGGAATGGTGAACGTCAATATTGGCCCCTAGCTAGTTCTTACAAATATGAAGTTCAACCTGCTGGAAAAGAGTCATCAAAAATCATTACAGTAGCACCGGGATTCATCCATAGAAAGAAAGGTGTCTATTCTCGAGCAAAGAACCGGCTTTTTATAAAACAGTTTACAGAACAAGTCGGTGGGTTGTGGAAGCTTAAGGTAGGTCAGATTTAAATAAGAATAAGTCATAGCTGAACAATTATTATTATATAATACTGTAATACATTTCAGATGTAGGTACTGTATATTCGATTGTGGACTACCATAACACAGATAATCCGGACTTGGGCTTATCTGCTGAATTTAGTCAGCAAATTTTCAATGGATTTAGTTTTGTCTCTTTTTACTAAACCAAAAAAACAGAGAGATTAGAAATATTGTCTATAAATAATATGCTTGAATTGTTAAACATTCCACATAACACTTCTGGCTAGTACAGAAAACTGCTTTCGTTCTTATCACTAAAATATAGTTTTAGAAAATACAGCCCTTTGTTTTTTGTATCATAGCATGCTATTCCATCCAGACTACTAGCATCACTTTTATCATGTAGACTACTAGTTGCTAAGCAGTAGGACCGTGATTTTTGTAGACTATTGAAACTATTTACTTGTATTTCTTTAAATTTAGGATGCTGTTGCTGAAAAGTACAATATATCCAAAGTGGAATTCAGCCAAATATTTGCTGGAGAAGCACCAGAACTAACTCCGATAAAAAAATCCTCTCCAGCAAACCAGAAGGCAGGTGGCAGCGGGAAAAAAGAAAAACGCCAAGAAAGTATTGAAAAGTACTTTACTAAGAAGTCTCCAAGTAAGCATACTGGATCTCATGGCACCGAACAAAAAACACTAGTGCAGAAGTTGAAGGAAAAATACAAACATAATGCTAAAACAAGTTTAAACAACAAGATTGCAGGAAAACATGATGCTTTTAGACAGAAACGGAAATATACAAAAAAGAAATTACTTCAATCTTCTGACAAAAAGTAAGGGTACCAAGTTATTTTTCATGTTTGCTAACCATCATTTACAGTTTTATTGTAAGTATTCATTTTTTACTAGCCGCTATACTCGTGCTTTGCATTGGGATCAGGATGCAGGAGAGGCAATGTTAATTCTTTGAAAATAAAGTTAGAATAATGGTTTCACAAACACCATTTAATTTATAAATTAAATTCAATTCTACCACTCATTTTGATAAAACTCTGTTTTTGTTGACAGAGATGGTGATCACGTACTATTTAGGTTATCTGGGATTATATAGAAATGGTGCTGATGTACCTATGATATTATTGTATGGAGGCCTATACTTTATCGTGTAATGTATAAAAAATACACTCACTTATACAAGTAATTAAATTTTAAAAAATCAATATTGGAAGTCAATTATTAGGTTAAAGGAATCTTACAGCTTAGGGTATTTTAGTTGATACAAAATTATTGATTGTTACTAGGTGATACCCGTGGGCTCTGCCTATCGATAATAACTCCCTGGATTGCGCGCTGAGGTTGAGGTAGGGCTCGAAAAACGGGCCGTCGCTACGTCGCTCTGTCCGCCAGGAGTGGGGATAAAGGCATGACTCACCCTAGTGCCAAGCGCTGCGCCCGCTCCTTTTTTTATAGGGAGAGGAGGGAAAATGCTTTTACGCACACAGGTAGCCAGCCTGTAGTGTGAGACTCCTGAAATTATCAGACTACCCACTAAAAAAACCCCTCTACTCTGTTGGACACAGACCTTGGAATTGTTTGTCACATTACTTCAAGTCAGGCCAACATGTGACCTAAGCCCTCAGGGCTCGCACCATTTCTGGCATTTAGATTCTTTATGACCTACACCGCATCCCGGTCAAGGTCGAGCTTCTTGGCGCGGAGAATACCCTGGATGTAATGTGACACACAGGTCCAACTGTTCTCACCCTCCGTCATCATCTGTATGACCGTGTCCACCGACAGCAGTCCTACTAACTGTTGAGCCTCCAGGCGGGGCCTTTCCTAGTGCTGGCAGTGGAAAAATGTATGTCATCGAGAATGCCTGGGCAGTATATGCATTTCGGGTGACACAGCTTTGCCCATCCTGAACAGGTACGACCGGAAAAAGCCGTGTCCCGTCAGAAATTGGGTGAGGTAGAAGTCCACCACTCCGTACTGCTGATTAACCCAAGGTTGGACTTGCTGTATCAGTCGCCTGGTCCAGCGTCCCCGTGTCTCCTGCCACAGCTGCTAGGTGCGGGTGCGTTACTCTGATCGTGCCTCGTCCTCCCCACGGCGCCGGTAAATTGCCTTTCTCTCTGCCGCCAAAAGTTTGACGGGGATGACTCCAGCAACCACCAGGACAGCGGGCTCGGACACTGTTCAGTAGGCAGATGCTACCCTCAGTGCTGCCTGACGCTGCACTCGGGCGAGCCGCATCCTGTATGCCTCCTTATTTAGTGCATCTGCCCACACCTCCGCACCGTACAAGAGTACGGACTGGACCGAAGACATTAACAGCCTTCTACGACTGGACCGAGGCCCTCCGACATTGGCCATCAACCAGCTAAGAGAAGAAACCACCCTAGCGGCCTTGTCCGCTGTACGGAAGATCTGATCCCGCCAGCTAAGCTTGCTGTCTACCATGACCCCAAGATACTTAACAGAACGAACGGTTTGAACCTCGACGGCTCCCACCCTCAACGGCACGGATGGTGTCAATCCGTTTTTTTGTCAAAATTACGATCTCGGTTTTGCTCAAAGCAAGCGAGAGACCGTGGTCTGCCATCCATGCATTTATGGTACGCATAACTCGATTTAGCTTTAGCTGAGCCAGCTCAACGCTGCGTGCAGCTATCAAAGCTACAACGTCGTCTGCGTACCCAACCAAAACAGTTTCCTAAGGCATTTCAGACCTCAGAAGGCTGTCATAAGCGACGTTCCAGAGGTCTTGGCCGAGTATGGAACCTTGGGCAGCACCAGAAGTGACACTCATCGTCCGCGGGCCTTCCGTAGTGTCATACGTGAGGAGGCGGAACCGGAGATAATCCTCTATGATGCGCATGAGGTATGCCGGCACGTGGAAGGTGTTATCCAGAGCGTCCAGCATATTGCACCACCTCGCCGAATTAAATTAATTTCGCACATCGAGCGTTACGAGCAGCACAAACCCTACGAGAGTAGTGGTTAAAATCCTCAGCTCTTATCACGGCTTGCTTCACCTCCTCAATCGCATCAATCGTTGATCGCCCCATCCTGAATCCATACGGGGGAAAGGTCCCCCGCAGCGACAACGGCTGAATTCAGCCGGGAACAGATCAATTTCTTGAGGACTTTGCCAGCCGTATCCAACATACACAGAGGTCTGTAAGAATTTGGCGATCTGGGTCTCCCTTGCCTTCCCAACAAGCACAAGCCTAGCTGTCTTCCAGCACAAGGGGAAAACCCCTTCGACCAGGCAGGCGTTGTACATGTTCAAAAGGATCAAGGGGTTGGTAGTCAAAACCTTCTTGAGGACTTCACAGGGTACCCCATCGGGACCAGGAGCCTTGTTCTTCAGGGATATGACGGCCGCCACCAGCTCTTCAGGGCTGAAAAGTGGGATGTCGTCCACCCTTCCAAATTCCTGCAGTGGGCGCAACGTGTGAGCCGGGAAAAGGAACTCGACTATCCTCTCCATAGTGACCCCGTCCATGACGGAAGGTGAAGAGCGGGTTCCAAGTTTCTTGGTTACAAGTTTGTAACCCAGGCCCCACGGGTTGGAATCAACATCGTCCCTTAATTTATCCCAGCAACTGCGTTTACTCCGATTGATGGCTCGACGAAGATACCTCCTAGCCACCCTATAAGCAACCGACTTACACTGTCTGTCTAGGGGTTCTCTAGCCCTGGTAGCAAGTCTTCTGGCTCTCAATGCTGCTCGACGCAATTCCGCAATCTCGGCAGTCCACCAGTACACAGGACGCTTATTGCACCGGTATCTCCTGCGAGGCATAGACTCATCGCAGGTCGAGACAATCAGTTCCATCATGGATGCAACTAACGCCTCTGCGTGAGGCACGCCAGTTGCGGGATGAACCACCGGTGTTCTTCGTAGGATGGCTCCATTGAATTTTGCCACGTCCAGTTTTTTAATGTTCCATCGAACGGGCACTTGACGAAACGTGGCCACTTGTCTCTGATGACCATCCAGGACATCAAAAATTATGTACTGGTGGTCACTAGCCGTGTAATCCTCCAGGACTCTCCAGGATCTGATCCTTGGCAAAAGGGACTTAGATGCAAGGGTAATGTCTGGGATCGTCCCCCGCATCCCAGGGCGGCGGAAAGTTGGCTCGTTGACGACGAGTCTGGCTCTGGCAGCAAAGTCCAGAATGTACTTGCCCCGGGAGTTGGTGAGGGTCATTCCCCACTCGACAGCCCTAGCATTAAAGTCCCCACCCACGACGACGTGTCAGGTGGTCTCACGCACGCTCTCTTCTAGGCGGTCTATCTTCTCACGAAAGTCACAAATAGCCTCGTTGGGAGTAAGGTAGACACTGATGTAAGTGACATCCCTGCACCGAACCCAAACGAAACCTCGGCCAGTCGCGTGACCCCGCACTTGTACTTTAGCTGCATTACGAGCCCAGAATGCAGCAGTACCAAGACTATCAGGGAACCTTAAAGATGGGTCAAATAGGATTTTTTCCAAAAATGGCCCTAACGATTTTGATAAAGATTTTGTATGTTATAGTCCTTTAAATTCTGAACAAAATTGTACAAATCCCATTTTCGTATATTTACTATCACCGCTTACCGCTTATAAACATGATAAAGCTTGTTGACAAACTTATGGGAGAAAGTATGTGTCAGAATGCTGATACCGTTTATTTTCTAGTCTTTAAGCACAAAATTTGTTATTATTGTCAGGATTATCAACTATGTATTCTAGTCTTCCACTTTATTATTTAAACTCACTCTGTTATTGTTCCTTTTTGCATTAGACTGTTAGTAAGCTAAGTTTCTTTATTTACAATGAACTATTTTATCCTTTCAAACTGTTTTCTGTTGTGTTTGTAATATGTACGGTATAAGCCATCCTGAGTTGTACTGATTTGATTTGTATGGTTGTAAAATGGAGATGTCCGTTGCAAATAAAAAAATAAATAAAAACATCAGTATAAAAAAAGTGGCGCGATACTATTCCTAGAATTTTATCTGCGATACTTGGGCGGTAATATCGCAGCGGTACAGGTGCTTCCACACCAGAGCGGGAAAGGGACGCGCGGGAAACCCAGTACACCTCAGAGGAGCGTAGGGTGGGGTTGGTGTGAGACTCTCTAGTTGTTATAAAAGTGTTGTTTTATAGTTAGTGTTTGTATACTGTACTGTGTGTAGTGTGTAGATTTAAAGGCGGTGACACACTATCGATCTTTTCCCCGATCAAGACCCCGAACCGAGCAGGGAGAAGGGAGATAAATTTCAGCAAAATTTCACTCCGAACATTTCCCCGAACAAGACCAAGACCAGTCGAATTCTACCGAGCCCGCTCCAGTATCGCACAGAGTATCGCTCTGGTGTGTGCAGGGCTTAAGAATAACATGGAAATTTTAAATTTACAATTTTTTGGAATTTTCTCCGTAACTATTAGGCGCATTATAACGCTTCAATATACTAAATTATTTGTTTTTTTAAGCTCTACAAAATAGTTTAGAAAAAAATTGCAAAACTTTATGTTTTTTAAATAAATGGGACAACAATGGGAAAAACCCATTTTTACCCCATAAAAGCCCCCATAAACCCCCGTTCCCATGGTCCGATCATGCTGGTTCGCGAACTCGTTCGAATAAATGTAGGTTTACACGTTTGTACCAAATTTCATCAAAATTGGATCATTTTTGCTCGAGTTATCGCGCTAACGGACACATATATATATATAAATATATATATGTATATATATATATATACAGGGTGAGTTTTAATTGTCCCCCCCCCCCAACTTTTTTCTACATTTTTTCAAATATCAATCCCAGAC